ACATAAAAATTGTGCTTAAAGAATATGTATAAAACCTCCCCATTCCTGTTCCACTCCAAGTTAAACTTAAGCAGTGTAATAATACATTAGTCAATGTGGAAATACTTATTTATTAAATATTTAAGTTCTGATACCTCTAACTTCTCAAAATCCCAAAAAGAAAAAAGCCAAGTCCACAAACGTAAGTCCCAATCAAATAACACTGCATTATTTTTCTCATTCTAAGTGAGGTTCATGTCACCTTCCTCCTCTCCTTTACCCTACTCTCTTCCTCAAGGCAGTCTTCCTTGTAGTATAAAGAATCCCTTTTCTCCTGAGCTAAGATTCTCTAGTTAAGCACAAGTGAAGGTTCCTACCTGGAACTTCATCATCATCATCCTCTCCAGTAGCAAGTGGTGCTTTTCCATCCACAGCTATAAAAGGGAAATGTAAATATTACGCATTTGTCCAAGTCTTCGATAAACATTAACCAAAAGAGCAGATGAAAGGTTTATATTCAGGATAACAACAGTGACATTTGGGATTTCATTTATAGTACCAGCAACAACATGATATTCTGATGTCTACAAATGAACTACAATACTAGTAACAGCCAACAAACCAAATTCCATACCCTTCCATTCAATCCCTCTGGCCCATCACAGGTAGTATAAGAACAACAGGGAATCCCTAGGGTACAGGTAAACCCATATACTGAATTATGGTAACATTTATTTCAGGAGGCAAATGAAGAGGCAAACAAATACTCAGTTGTGTTGTGCATGACATAAGGGAGATGCTCAATGTACCTTTACGGAAATGAAAATTAAATGACCAAAAAATTAAGTGTCTTTGAGTGGTAAGCATCCATTTTCCTTTTATTACACAAGAAAGTGAACTATATTTGAGAACTGAGACCTAACAGTACTAGCTCCATATAATTTTCAGTGGGCTATTTCTCATGTCTACTTTAGCTCCGAAAATCTAAGACTTTCTAGAAACTGTTATGCCTCTTGATGCATAACAAAAAATAAACTGAAACAGAGTAAATGCCTAGAAAAACATGGATGACTAAATAACAGGCCATATAATAAGCCTGTCTTGCTTCTACATTCCCATTCTTCAAAATTTTAATCAGAGGGCTTCAGCATAAAGTAGCTATACCCCTAATATACACTTATGCAACTACATGATTTTCTGTCCTGAACAAAATCCTCATCATACTACAATTACAAACAGCAGCACAGAGGCAGACCAATTCTTAAAGATTATTGGTAATATCAGTTGTATAGATACAACTGAAGAAATATGATAATTTATAATGTATCTTTAATCAATTTTAAACTGCCAATTATCAGAAAAGCCCAAAATTAAGTCATAATTTCTAGCTAACAAAGATAAAATTTCAGTCTTTTATCCAAAGCAAGAAAGCTAGTAGAAAACAAGTATAATGATCACAGCATACTAAATTATTGAACATACTAAGAACATCTGCTTAAAATCAGTGTAAAAAATTAACATTTTTAGAGGAAAGGCTGCATTTCCAAATTTAAAGATATTCACATCCATTTGGTACCATGGGATCTTAGAAATCTACTGATAAATCAGTAACCCTTGGTGAAACCACTACTAAGAAACTCACATTGTTTGGGCAGAGCTTCAGCCAGTCTCCTTAAACTAGTCAGACTGTCTGCACCAAGCTGGTTTAAGATGCTGGGTAGCATTTCTGTCAGCTGCTTTGTCTCAGCATGGCCTGTAATGGTGAAAGTGTTTGCTGCCAGAGATGCCTGAACTTTAGGATTGTTAAAGTGGATCACTGTTCCTTGGTTTGTGAACATATTCACCTATAAAACAAAAAATTTAATTAGCAACACCCACTAAAATCCCTTTAAAACTAAACATTTTATTAAGCAGCAAATGAAATATAGTACTTCACTGTGAAGCATGGGTAGAATAGAAAGTGCAGTCTAATGGTTTTCAGACTTAGCAATCTCCCTAATATCTATTAACAGAGAAGAAACATATTTTAGAGGGATATGAAATACTGTGTTGGAAGTACTGTAGAGTCAAAAATTTCATTTACTGAACAAACATTAAAGTTTTTTCAGCCAAAACGTGTATGAAGAATTAAAATTTAACACTTGCCTCTTCAATACCAGAGATATTGTTTACCCCTAACTTCTTTAAGGAGAATTGAAGTTTTTTATCATCTGCTGTAGCTGTTCTGTGAACCACCTTCTTCTTTCTGCGAGCAGTTCCCTAAAGTGGGGAGAAAAGGAAAGAAAACACCACACATTTATACTATAACAGACATTTTCAAATGGAAACAATTTCTAATTCCTTTCTGACCTTTGCATCTGTGTAAGAAAATTACCGTGACCAAACTTTTATGCAGTGAGTAGACAAGTTAGGGCAATGATGGAAGCCAAAAGAGGGAAAGAAAAAGAATTATCGAAGTCTCTTTATAATTTATAAAATTCTAGTTTTGTCAGATATAAAGGAATGATCTTTTCAAAGCCCTACTTTTTACATAATCTGCTCTAAAGTGATCAAAGTAGTGGCATGTGTCAATCAAAATTAAGACTCATTGAGAAATTCCATGTCTAGAACTACGCTTTTATTTTTGTATTAACCGAAGAAAAATCAACACTCATCAATATTCGTGGCAAGATAGTGTATAACCCAATTAAATGTCTGTATACAGACTCCTATAATACTCAAGAATAAAATGTGAAAGTCTTATCCTAACCGTGATCTGTTCTGCCCCTACTATGCCACTCTTGACCACATCTATCACACACGTATATTCATTTTCAGCTAAATTAACATCCATGCTGTTCCTTAAATAGGCCAAACAGGAGACTTTGCACATGCTGTTCCTCTCTTCCCCAGCAGTGCATGGCTCCCTCCCTTACTACAGATCTTCTCTCTGTTAGCACCGTCTGTATCGAGTGGCCTTTCCCAACCACCCAATGTAAAATACCAACTCCCACACTCATCTCTTTACATCAAGTTTCCCTTTATAACACTGATTACTAATAGAGATAAGTATATTTTATTGTCTGTCTCCTCGCACTACAATGTAAACTCCTTGAGGGTTTCTATTCTGTTTACTGTAATAAAACCCAGTATCTATCTAGAATAGTGTCTGAATCATTGAAGGTACTCAGCAACTCGATGAATGAATGAATAAGCCTTCAGAAAAACTTGTGGTCTCTTGAACATATATGCCAAGTCTCCAATATCCCACATCTCAAAAATATCCTATAAACTTTCAAAACCAGGCAAATGTGATCACCCATATTCTGCTTAAAACTCTTTAATAACATTTTCCTATACTCTTCATATAGGCTCAATTAGCTTTTTACATTGTACATAAGGCTCTTCATGGAAGGACTACCATCCACCTACCTTACTGTCCCCCAACCTCCATAGCAATTCCTATCATCCTTTAAGATACTGTTGATGTCATTATCTCTTCTGTGCTCTCCCTAAATCCTGCAACCAAGCCAAATCATTTCCACCTCTATATTCTGAAAATGTTCCTACTGCACGATAGCACTATATACAGTACACTGTGGGGCGGGGGAGGGGGGGATAAAAACATTTTTTTAAGATGCCTATCTCCCCTACTAACCTTTAAAGCCCCTCCCCGACAGGTACTTTCAGCTACTTAAAATTTGTATTCTCGGGATCCAGCATAGCAAAGGCTTAAATAAAACACATTTTAACTTAAGAAAATATCAACAGCTACAGAAAATACTGGTTACCAACCCCTCAAAAACCTCAAAGAATAAGCACCACCTTAAAGTGGTTATGTAGATACCTGGTTTCCAAGACACCTCTAAAAGACATTCTGAGAAACCACAATAACAGTCGAAAAACAAAACCAGCATACCTTCTATAGGTTTCATATACTTCATTTATGCAGAGTTCAATTTTTACTGACATAATTAAATTATTATTAATGCTCTGATCAGATACCTAACACTTATAGTTTTCTCTAAGGCAAAACTAACTCACCTGATTTTACATCCCATTAAATAGGTTTCTTCAAAGGTGAAAAAAAATTTCATATTACAATAACTGAAATACGTCTTCTACTAATTAGTAAACAAGTAAAGTTTAATCCTACATCAGCCTTAAGAATCCTAGAAAACCTAGACTTTCTTTTACCCTAGAATGATTTCTCTCACAAGTTAAAGACTAACAACAAAAAAATGGCACACAAACATTATTCAAATTGCTCCTCAAAGCTGTACTAAAAGGATTGCTGGTTAAAAACACCAGTATAAGAGCATCCAAACACTGACCCACAAATATGAGTTTTTCTGGCACTTGAAGGCCACACCTAGCTTATCATAATTGCTAAAAAGGACAAGAAACATTCACTGTTGTTAATAGGTAGGTGTGGATCTTGAAGTCAACCAACTTCAAGAAAGAAAAAAGGATGAGGGTACATTTACTGCTGGCAAAGTCTAGTAATTAACAGATGTACATCTTATTATTTAAGTCGAAGTGCAACTTTTGGCTATTTCACAGTAAATTCTACTTGAAGGTAAATGCTTAAAGTTGGAAAAAACTAATAGGCAATAAACTTGGACTATGGAAGCTTTTACCATACAAGTAAATACCTTACAAGTTTTACCAAGTAAAGACATGCTCTGTTCAACAGGCTATACCACACCTTGTTAAATACTAAGAATGTGCTAACAATGCGAAAATACAACTAGGTAGACCTCTGTCTAGAGCGGACTTCTGATTTAAGTAAATTACAGAACAATCTAGAAACTAAATCAAAAAAGAATCCCTTTGAAGGGGCTCAGTATCCACCAGGAAAGACCAATTAGCCAAAAATTGATCACTTAAAAACACACCTATCACTCTAATTCCCTCAGTTTTAGCGTAATTACAAAGTTAAAATAGAAAGATAGCCACTTATGTAATATTTTCAAATCTATAGTCACTGCTCTTAAATTCCAAAATGTACCTATAAGATAATCTTCAAATACCCTAAAAAATGTACAACTACTAAACTGGATTGCATTTAGCTAAGAAAGCATTACAGAAAGGTCTTAATTTAGAAGAGGCAAGAACTTTTAACTATCAAGTACAATAATCCAGACAAACTACTAACTATAGTTGAAAACATGGGTGTAATTTAAATTCGGTTAGCTTAGTAATATAAATAAATAACTAAATAAATAAATAAGCAAGCAAGCACCGACTGTATACAATTAAGGCCAAAACAAGTCAGAGACACCATGGCCACAATGATAATCTAACTGAAATGACACATTTTCTTACTACATTAGGAAACACTTTTGCTCTACTTAAAACACTGTAACATTGGAAAGATATTTACATAAGAGCGATGTTTGTAGTTTAAGCGCTCTTCTCATTTCGATTCACTTGTTTTTCTTTGAGTATACAACCTGCACGTTTCATGGATACACTATATTTCTAATTTAACTCGCTTCCTCCTCCCTCCCAATTTGCTACCTCTGTGAAATGCTCTCTAGAGACAAAGTGACAAGCCACCGCTATTGGAAATGCAAAAGGAAAAAACCTGAACTTTAAAACTTAAAAAAATAATAATAATAACTATTAAAACTTACTTTCCCACCAATGCGCACTTGTGCCTGAAGTTTGGCGAGTTTCTCCTGGTTCATGATAGTTTCTTTCATCTAGAAAAACGGGAAACCCTCAGCAAAGAAAGGTCTAGTTCACTCTAGCATCCCACGCTCTTTATTTCCCAAAACACCAGAACAAATGTCCTACACAGGCCGAGGCCCGGATCCCAAATCCACCCCGCAACGCTCCCAATTCAGTTTCGAGGGAGCCCAGAACACCCACTTTCCTACCCATCCCCCACAACTCCCCCATCTTTACAGGCTGGATAAAGGGCTCTCACCCAAGCCTGGTCAGCACCCCCACCCCGGCCCCGGCCCGGCCTCGGCCTCGGCCTAGCCAGGGCCTGCCCGGCCCGGCCACTCTCCGCAAGCCTCGCGGTACCTGAGGCTCCTGTCCTCGGGTTCCGCCGCGAGGTGGAGGAAAAGACGGCGTCGCCTCGCCCCCTGGGCAGCCGCCCCTGGCTCGACCTCGACCCCGAGAGTCAGCCTGAGTGGGTGCGCCTGTCCGTCGCATCGCCTTCCTCTCCTCAGCCCTGTCCCTCCCTGTCTCGCTCCTTCCGGGCACTTCCCGCCCCCGTTCCCGTCCTCCTCCCACGCCGGCGTCCACAGCCTTTTTGTACCTTGTTGGAGAGGAAACGGGGCCGCGCGGGGGACTAGGGTTGGCGCTCAGAAGGTCTTGGGCAGACCAGCTGAGAATAAGCGCACACACGCGGGGACACAAGATGGCAGCTAGAGAGAGGTCGGAAGTGACGCAAGGCCGCTTCCTCGAAAAGTCAGGAAACGGACTGCGCCCCGCGCTCAGCGCCTTGCTGCGCAGGCGCACCCCCGGACGCGGGGTCTGTGACCGCGGCGCGGGGGCAGCCTCTCCGCGTCCAGCGTTGGCCGGGTAGAGACCGCGCGGGAGACTGGGCTGGAGGCACTGCGAGTAGCCCTGACGGGGTCAGAGAGCACGGTTCTTGCACAGTTAGGGTTGAGTAAGTCGGTTCTGTCTCCATCGAGTCTGATCCCCAAGTTCTTTCCCCTCAGAGGAAAGAACACCTTTGCGGAAACGTTTGGGGCGGCCAGTTCACCTTTGCGGAAACGTTTGGGGCGGCCAGCGTGTGCTCACCTCTTTAGTCGCTCCGGGCTTGGTGGATGATGTAGACTGGAACGATCATCTGAATACTTAAGAATTTCCCCTTCAGTCAATGAGCCCTTAACCAAAACGTTTTGTCAAAACTTTGTCAAAAACAATGAAGCTAATTTTGCTTTCCAAGGTTAGGTGGTCTCGTAGGTTTCAGAACCATGGTTTGGAATGTCTAGGGAGCGTTTTTAGAATGCATCCCCCAGCCCTACCGCTTAAAAAGCGATTCAGTCGAACTGGGAACGGGACCCGGTAATCTGCAAGTTTTGCAGATGGCTAACCAGTTTAGACCTGTGTACTCGATTACCTTACTTCTTTTATCTGTTTAACAGACTAAAAATATATAACTTGGCATAACTTAACTAGCGAGGCACAGTTGGATAAACTTTACCTTCCTTAACTGGGTAATCAAAGGAGAATTTGTACCCGGTGTGTTACAGTTGATAAGTTCTCAAAAAACAATGTTGCTTCTATTATTAAATGAGTCGAGTTTAGTACAGGAAAGGGTGTTTGTACTGTTAAGCTATGTGGTCACTGTGCTAAGGATTAAGGTCAAAATGACTGCCAACACTATTCAGTGCTATAGAAATATTACAATATATATAGAAATACTCCCCTTTTGAAACTATATCTTTGTTCGGGAACAATTTTTCCCCCTTCCTCCATGTTATATGGGAGGCATTTGAAATTTCCTAGTCATATGATGTTTTCTGATTATTTACATAAACACAAGATTCTATGTAAATAACCTATCACCTACTCACCTTTTATACACCTGTTTTCAGAAAATATTCCAGGTTATTTCTTATTTTCCTTTGGTTCCCTCTTTTCTCTATTGTTCTTTTGTAACTTTTAAGACTTGCACCGTGTTGAAAATCATGAAAGCTTTTCTAACAGTAAGAAAATAATATTTTTATTTTTGACTCCGGCTGCTTATGCTTATTTTGTAAGTGCTAATTTTATTAGAATTATGCTTCTGCTAATATTTATATACAAGTCTTTTTTTTAAAACTGAAAAGATTTTTTTTTTTTTGACTTTAAAAGATAGTTACTAAGTTGTTATCTTAGCTCCAGGATGACAAAAGAGTAACTTACATGCTACCATTTCCTATGTGCGCCCAGTGTCTACTGCAAATAGAATTAACTGGCTTGGACACTTTACTGCTGAACTTGAAGAAGCCTGAGTAATTTACTCAGTACTCAACATGGCTTCTGTTGATAGAGTAGGCAAGAAAGGGGAAACCTGATTGCCCTCCTTGGTTATATAGTTTATGGTCTATTCAAAGTTCACAAAATGTTTTCACGTCTCAGTTGGACTGGAGTCTGCTTCAGCAAGAGCTAGAATATTTATATTATGTTGATTTCTTAAGAGCACTGTGATCCTGGCCTTTGGTTGATAGCCACAGTGGATTTTTGTTTGTTTCTAAACCTCCTTAAACTCTTCCTCTAGCACCCACCTTTGTGAATTTGTCTACACTTCATTTAACTTTCCGAGAAAACCTTCTCTGACACATGCAGTCCCATTAGGTTACATCCATTATAGTTATTTTTAGTTGCGGTATTTTATTAAATGCAAAACGAGAGATTGATTATTTTGTTGTTAATGGAGAATCGAACTAGCAGGATTAATAACAGTTTCCCACTAGGTTAATATTTAGTGTTAGCTCTTTGATCATTGGATCCACAGAAATCTTATGAGGTAGGTACTTCCCGTATTCCTGGTGAGGAAACTGAGGCTTAGAGAGTTAAAGGTGTGAAAATAGGCACAAACAACCTCATCTTCCCTCCACCAAATCTATCCATCTACATTTATCTGAACCTATAAATATTGCCTTCACTCCTACTACACGTGGAAGAAATATTCCCTCTACTTGTACTTTTGTTTATTTCATTCAGGACCTTGATTCTGGTTATTGTTTTCTTCCTGTATCTGTTTTTCCCCTTTCAGCTAGATCATCCTACCAGTACACTAATATGCCTTAGTATCAGGTATCTGAAAAGAGAACAAAACAAAAAATTTCTTTTGACCTCTGCTTAATTTTTGTGTTCCCCTTTATAGCAAAATTTCTTCAATTCTCTAAACCTCCATTTTGACAAATCCAAAAGATAAATTCTCAGTTCTCATTTTAGTCTTTAGGTAGCATTTGACACACTTGGCCACTTCCGCATTTCTGAAACATTTTCTTCTCTAGACTTCCAAAACATCTCACTTCCTGGTTTCCTCATACCTTATGGCTTTTCCTCAGTCTACTTTATCTTCTTTATCTGACTTCTAAATATTAGAGTTGCTCACATTTTAATCTTGTTTTGTACGTGTATTCTCTTTGAATGGTTTCATCCAATCCCATGGCTTTAAATGTTATTTTTATTTTGACGAGTCCCAAATTTATAATTCCAACCTAACTTTTTGAACACCAGACTGAATATTCTTTTTACATTATTACGGAAACTTCAGTCACGTAAAAGTGAAAATAATATAATGAACCTCCATAGGCCTATCAACTAGCATCATCAATTATTAAATTAAAACATTCAATATTTTAAACATATTGTAAGGTGATTACCTTTTTTTAATTTTCGAAGTTGACATTTACAGACCTAAATTCCATATACATTTTACATTTTGTTCAATTATTTTAAAATTTTGATTGGGATTGATTGTATAGGTTAATTTGGGGAATTTTTATATCTACTAATTATTGTATGAATCTGCATTCAGTTGCAGGAAATAGATCTGGCTACTTTAAATATATGAGGAATTAATATAGCGAATTGGTGCTTAGAAAACTGTTTAAAAGGCTGGAGGAGTGGGCTTTAGCCTGGGCCATCAGAAATGAGTCCCAGGATAATAGTGAAGAACTAGGCTGTCAAGTGAGGTGCTACCATTGCCCCTACCTGTCAGGATGATGAAAAATCAAGACCCTGCAACTGGAGATACTGAAGTTAAGAATACACCGTTGTAGCTACAATTCAAGATCAAGAAGCTACTGTAGCACCAACTACTCAACACCCATAAATCAATGACTGTGCCCTAGAAAGCTGCTGCAGAAAATACTATTATATTCACCACCATGCTTGCCAGCCAAAGATAAAAAAAATAAAGCAGCAGGAAAAAGGCTTTTGCTCTACTTTCACCTTCCAAATCTAACTTAAACGTACCTTCCTTAAAAAGTACAAGAATGTCTGGAAATGTAGTTTTTAACTTTTCAAGATTTATAGTACAAGGAGGCAAGCTTGAAAGAAGTTTGAATGGTGTGCCAATCTACCTTATGCATCCAAATTTTTATAGCCACAAACAAGTGTATCTTTTTTCTAATCAGTTATATATTTTAATAGAGAAAACTTTCCGAAGGTCTTGTGTATTCATCGTTAACTGGATCTTCAGATATAGTCATTATTTTTTCTCCCTCCTATTTTAGATATTGCAAATGTCTCCTGGTCTCTTACATTTGTCTGTAGCGCCCTCGTTGAACAAAAATGCAATAATTTTGACCACAAGGTGATCCTGCCATCAATTTACAGAAAATTAAGTGGACAGAAAAACATGTTAAATTATTCCACAGAATGCAATAAACAAAATTCAGGTTACAATAAATGAAAGACAATCTGGTATTTCAACCACTAAGTTCCAAGGAAAAAGAGAGAAAAAAAGAGGAGTAAGGGGATTCTTTAGAAAGAAAAAGACCTAACAATCCTATCAAAATACCAAAGGAAAACAAGCAAAACAATAGTGTTCAGGGAAGAATGTTTAGGTGATAAACTGAAAAGGAAGTGATTATCTTAAACATCAGGATAGCAGTTATTTTTGGGAGAAGAGGGATTGTAAATAGAAAACACTTGACACAGGAAATGTTGCTAGGGTGGTGAGCAAGGATCTCTCTTTTGACCTGTTGTATGCAGTTTTCTGTATTTGCTATACATAACAAAAGTTTTTTAAAAGCCCGCAAAACAACATATGATACAAAGCTGTATGCACATTTAAGATCACATTTCAACATTAGAGTGGTGTGGTATAGGGGAAGTATATATTCGGTCTTTGTCTCAGGTTTCTGGGCCAAAGCTCCTAAAACCTTTGAAGTGTTGAGTGTCTTTTGTATGCTAATTAGATGATTAGTGTGCCGAGGACCCCTAGATAGCTTCAGGATGAGGCAGGTTGTCAAAAAGACCAAGGAGTTATTAGAGGGTTGAGCACTGGAATTTTCAATCCCATCCCCCACTCCCTACCTCCAGGGAAAGGAGGGCCAAGAGGTTGAGATCAGTCACCAATGGTCGACAATTTAATCAAACTTGCCTGTGTAGTGAAACTTCCAAAACCCCTAAATGACAGGATTTGGAGAGTTTCCAGGTTGGTGAATACATCAAAGTGCTAGGAGGGTACACAACCAAGAGAGGGCATAGAGACTCTGAAAATCCTCCCCCTACCCGCCTCCATACCTTGTCCTATGCATCTCTTATATTTGGCTCTTCCTGAATTGTATTCTTTATACTAAATCAGAAAATATATATATTTTTCTGAGTTCTATGACCCATCCTAGCAAATTACTGAACCTAAGGAAGGGGGCATAGGAACCCCCAATGTATAGTCAGTCAGAAGTAAGGGTGGCCCAGGACTCAGGACTGGCATTTGAAGTAGG